CACTCCTGTTACTATTTAATTGGTTATATGAGCTGCATTTAGATTTTGAATTTCATTTGTTAAACTTAATGCTTTGTAAGTAAAATTTTAATTTTTTTTTATCACTGCTCTCCGTGACAACTAGTTTTGAATGGATTATTTGTATGGCACTTAACTTGGTACTATTTTGAAATGCTGTTTGTTTTGTTTTGAAAAAAAAAATTTGCTCAAAATTTTTTTTCCCTGGTGCGTGGGGGAATATGTTATGTCGCGAATTTCAATTATTAATATGTGTTTTAAGTTATTATTATTCTAATATTTTTATTTGTATTCATGTGTATTTTAATCTGGAAAAAAAGTATTCTTAAGCTCTTAAGGTTTTATTTAACTTGTTATTCTTGAGTAGGAATTGTAACTAAGGCGAGAGACGGTTGCGAGGACACACATCTGGTTTATGGCCTTTTACCAACAATGGAGGCAGTAGGGGTGTGTGTCGCCCTTTTTTAGCTAATGCGTGTGAAACGGAAATCGCTTTCCTGTCGCTTTGTTAAAGTTTGCAGTTTTGCTTACTTCAAGACAGTGGGAGGTGTACTAAGTTAGATAATTGGATTCTCGTAAAAGCTTAGTTTCGCTTGTTAGTTGGGGGGGTCTATTTTTTTTCTCACGTTATGAGTGCAGATGTTTTTCGGATTTCATTGTCAGATTTTCTGGTGTTTGATTCGTCATGGGTGTGTCATTTTCTCAATTTAGATAACATAAAATTCCGGGATTGGTAAGATTTAATTTTATGATTTTTTTGAAAGCCTATGAACTCACAGAGGCGGAGAAACCGAGTTTTCCTGGGTGCTTGCACCAGGCTAGAGATTCATTCTGTTTCCTGATTCTTTCAAGCTAAGAGTAAGAAGAAAGCGAGTGGCGGGGCTTGACCCCTTTGCGGGTCTTGCTCTCGTGAATGCCGTGTACCAGATTGCGGCGGTCTTGAATTTCTGTCGGCTTTCAGCTGATGAGAATTTTGCTCGAGTTGAGACTAAGTGCTTATGCAAAATATAGCTTTGCTGCTTGCTTCGTTATATTTTCCCAAGAACTTTAATTTAATTTGACATTCTCGAGGTTACCTTAATACAGATTTTGTTGTACGTTAGCGTTCCTGAATAAAGACTGCTCCCTAATTTAAGAGAAGCATCCTGATACCTGTGTCTTCCTCGAGTCTTGATTTGTTGAAGCGTTAACGTTCCTGATAAGACTGCTCCCTTAATTTAAAGAAGGCATCCTGATTCCTGTGTCTTCCTTGGGTCTTGATTTGTTGAAGGCGTTAGCGTTCCTGATTTAAAAGCAGTTGGACTAGCTGTTGAACTATCTAAAACTCCGTATTAATCCGTCGATGATGGCATTCTCGATCTCTTCGAATGGTCAACGAAATGAGTAGGACGATCTGTTGAACTATCAGCACTCCATATTAATCAGTCGATGATGGCATAGGAGTTTAATGTATGAACTTCACCCTGTGAGTGAATTTTTTTTCTGTCTTTTGTATTTAAATTGTAACCGAGTAATGATACTATATTAATATACGTGTGGTACAACCGCCTAAATTGTGAGTTATGTAATGTTAAAAAAAATTAGTACACCTAACATGAGTATAAGATTTAAAATGATATATATGTTAATTTACCTCTTAAGGTTAATTTGTAGGGGACTGATCAGTTTACCTAGTTATCATATGTTTGAATATTCTAGAAATTAATAAATGTGTTTGATATGTATTTTATGTTTCATTTGTTTAATTTAGTGTAGTTTCTGTGGTCTGTCATGTCCCTCCATTTGTTTGAGCCGGGAGGCTTTTAAGAAACATGGAGTTTAATTGAATTTGGAGTTATTGATTTTCCTTTTACATAGGTTACTCACAACGCAAACCTAAAAGTTAAATTGTACTATACCACTATACGATTGATTGATAGATATGATATATGATTGATTGATAGATTTACTATACGAATGTTTATAAGAATGTCGATATGATATATGAATATTATGAATTAGATTTTGAATGTGAATTATTTGATTTTTTTTTTTTTTTTTTTTTTTTTTTTTTTTTTGTGTCCGGCACCATGAATCCAAGTTAAAAGAAAAGTATTAAAAAAAAAAATTTTAGATATAACAAAAAATTTTCACAATAATGCTGTCAAAGCGGATTGGAATTCAAATGATAATATTTTTTTGCAATAAATAAGATTTGAATCACATAATATAGTAAGTTTTTAACTTCTATTATTTTCCTTTCTTATTTTGAATGTACTGTCTGTTTTAAGTTCTTACGTTCTTAAGTTCTTATTTAAAGTCTCAAGTGCGTTTTTTCGCGACTAAATTACGGAGAAGAAAATATAATATTCTTATATGTTCAACATTCACCATTAGTACATGGTGAATGTCGACATTTACCGGTGTAAGTCAGAAATAAGAGTATTTGGAAAATATTTTGGACATACACCAAGCGACTATGTGAATGTTGACTTTCACCGGTGAAAGTCGACATTCTACAGATTTCGGTGTTTCACCGTAACATATATACTTAGGAACTTTCAATTTGCTGGTTAAAGCTTTTGAGTACCGATACTTTCACTCCCTGAATTTGTTCACCATTTAAGAGTTTTCCTTTGAAAAATAAATTACCACATTCAGGAACTAATTGACTCGGGCAATACATACACCTGAAACTTTATATTAACATTTTGGGTGCAAAGACCGGGTATTATATGAACGCATATAATGTACATTGCGAAAAAAAAAAGGACAGTTCTTTATCTTCCGTTTTACTGGGCCGATTGACAAAATTCAAATTGCGTTTTTCATGTCTCAAAAGCTCGACTTAGGATGCATATTAGATTTATATATAGCATTGTTCTAACATAGGTTTTGTTTAACACAAAATCTGACTTTTTCATAAATAACATACACATTTTTCCCATATTTCGAATCTATGACTCAAATTATGCCTAGATATTAAATTTTGTAAAATTTGGTGCATAATTTACGGAGAAATTAAAAAATTTATCTTAGCACAATTATTTCAGTTTGCGCCAAGAAACATTCACTTGGCGAACTTCTTAATATATGGCAACCAATTTTCCTTTCCCTGCCCTTATGCCGGAGCGGAAAAAAAGAAAAACACCTTGTCCCTAACTTTTTACATTGTTCATGAGAGGGGAAAAAGTCCCATCGTTCCTGTCTTCAAATAATTTTAGCAAAATGTCTAAACCACATTTGATGCTTTATCCCTTTCAACAAATATGCAAAATTTCAAAACGCCAATATATAAATTCAAGTATATCTTCGGAAATTTTGAATAAAAAACTGCAAATTTTGCAGGTCTCCTTAGAAATACGTCTACTGTAAGATGATGGTAAACATTTTACAGATTATAATTTAAAATGTTTTTTGAAAAATTTATAAAAACTGTTTAAAAATACAATTTTTAAAAATAAATCATAAAAAATGAGTGAATTTTATTTGGAATGAACCTGAATTTCGAAATAAGATAGAAAGAATCAAATTAGTTTAATAAAAAATAGAGATTAATAAATATATACTAAACTCAATTAACATTGAGGAGCTAAAATTTTGAGAGCTATTTTTTAAAAAAACTACTCGTGCGATTTTTACAAAACTTGGTATTTTGAGTGAAAGAATTGAAAAATTTGTATTATTTCAGAAAAGTCCGATTTTGTGTCAAAATTTCTATATCAGAACAATTCTATATATAAATCTACTACATACCCTAAGTCGCGCTTTCGAGACATGAAAAACGCAAGTTGAATTTCGTCAATCGGCCCAGTAGAAAGGGAAAGACAGAACTATCCCCCCTTTTTTTTCGTGCAGTGTGCGTCTGATTCAAGTGATTTATGATACATATAGGTGATAAGCTTCACAAAAATTTGCACCATTTCAAAAACCCAATAAACCTGTTCCTAACTCTATCTCATACGTACTTCCCTAAAAAAATATATGAAACACTGCTAATAATTAGTTCCTAAAGCTACTCTATATTCTTAAATCTTCGCTAACAAATACTACTAAATAATTAATTCCTTACCCTTCTCGTGAAGAAAGGTGATGAATGAGATATTTTTTAATTTTCTTGACATTCTGTTAGAATATACAATTCCGCATTAACAGAAATAAAGAAAAATTTAAATTTCTTTCTTTCTGCCTAAAATCAGGATCACCGTCACAGCCAGGTCATACCGGTGGATAGGATTAAGCCGTGACAAAATTTTAGAATTTAGAGAAGCACCGAGTAAGAAAATTAAGAGATAATAATATTTTTAAATTTATCGGAGATACTGAGCAGCAAAATTTGGGGCGCAGAATTTTTAGAGTTTAAGGAAGCACGAACAGCAAAACGTAGGACCTCGGCAAAATTCCTACCTTCGGCTATACTTGAAATCCACTTACTTTAAATGCAACACAGTTCAATAATTGGAAGCCTAAATTCAAAATCTCTTCGCTACTTCTTCTACTCTAACATTCTATGCTAATGCTTACTCTTACTCTTAATATTTTACACTTTTGGATCTTAAGGGATGTAGGCTTATTCTAATAACGCGTTTTTTTTTTCTTTAGTAAAAGAAAGAAGTATCATTCTGTTCATAAAATTCCGCAATAAGTTAAAATGATTCTCTTAATTCATGGTAATTATATGTCGTGTAATTACAATCTATAGAACTCCATTCAGATTTTACACTTAAACTAATATTTTAAAAATCAATATTTGAAATTCGTAATCACTTAATTAAAAAACTCCGTTTAGTAAATAGGAATATGAATTTAACTATGCATTAGCCTAAAAATTATAAGCTACGGTATAGATGGCAATTTGCCCTTTTTATGATTACTTATTTCAATCTACTTTGTTGACAATGCCTACTATTAAATAATCACTATTAATGCACTTCTTTTTTTGAAGATGCATTTCAAAGTTTAGTAAGCATATATTTATACATCTAAATCAAATTTGTAGTCACTCACCTTCGCAGAAGTTCTACGCCGTGTTTGAAGTAGCCCCTTCCCATAAATGCAGTCAAAAGCAGAAATTGCAGGAAAACATTCAGGACATAAAGGCTCTTCACCAGTAGGTACAAGAGGCACAGGTAGCGACTGGGGCCAGTGCCACAACGGCACGTGATCGGGATCCGGCAAGATGGATCGGCGCAGCAACCAACGTTACCGTTGACCATTGTATGGAACTGGTCCACGAATTCAGCCAAGAGAGCCTCTCTCTGTTGGCAACCGGGTGGTAGACTGGCAATGTCTGAGGCTCTCTTTAACAGCCTGCGGATCTTGACCCCGGCGTTGTGAGCGCAGGCCCCCCAAAGAACGAACGGCAGATGGAAACAACATCCCTGCACCAAGAGGATGAGAGGTGACCATTGGTAGTAGGTGACCCTTACGCGGCGAAGTTTTTCGGCAGTGATAGCTCCTTCTTCTCCGATGCCGGCGCTGTAGTCTATTTCATCTGGCAAAGTTTTAGGATCAAATGTGTTCTCAGCAGGTTCACCTATATCATCCACAGTTCCGTCTGTCACTAAGTAATAAGTGGACGTAGTCCAACAATAACTGTTGACATATCGCGCTTGGCTTTCGCTGAAATAGGTGGGAGTAAAACATTCAATAGGATCACCGATGTACTGTTTGGTGAAGATGGGCAGTGCTAGGAAGAGGAAGATGAGCAGTGTATATTTCCGGTTGAGCTTGTCAATACCGTCGTCAATGGGGACGTGGATACCACCGATCAGATCATGGAAGCGAAGAAGAAACGACATCTTAGCAAAGTTTGGCTGGATTCAGCACTTACGGCACTGATTGAGGCAGTGATTCTGATCGTGGTAGTGGTATTAATGATGAGAGGCACGAGCATGGCCGGGACAGAGCCTGAGACCTAAAAATTAGATAATTATTAGATAGATGTAAAATTTGAAGAATAAATTCAACATATACTATCAACAAAATTCAAACTTTGAAAAATAAATTGCCTATTACTCGTGTTTTCTTCAGTTAAGGATTCAGTAAAGAAACTTTTTTTAATTACATAAGCATTGATACAGGTCGAGACTGTGCTTTTAATAACAGAAAATATTTTTATATTGCTCATAATGGATGTGAAAATTTCGAATATTGCTTTTAAATTTACTTTCAGAATGACATTCTAAACACTGTAAATGGAATGTTTTTCTTTGTTTCTATTTTTGGAATTTATTTTGAGCATTATAAACGATACAATAATAACACTTTAATAGTATTAGGTTTCACCTTATATATAACTATAGAAAATTCTTAATAATTTGAGTCTTAAAATGTTATTTGAATTTAGAATTTTGATCTTTAGTTTAAATGAAATATTTCTTTTCAGTTTCAAATGCTGTGTTTTAAGATTTAATTAATAAATAAACGAAAATCAGTTTTATACTGGTTTAATTTGGATATTAAGGAAAACATAAAACGGCGATTTAGCGAAATGGGTAGATTATTAGCAATATGTGTAGTAATTAGGACAATTTTTTTTAAATTTGCGAACAGTTACTACAGGGAATTCTTCACTTACCCTTACTAACTAATTTTCGAATGTTCACTGATAATAGAAAAGCGTTCTGTAACATTATAAGCATCGTGTTACATTCTGTAAAAAATGAATTTTTCCGAAGCTTTAGATAAAAGACACCGTTTAAAATAGGAATTACAAAATTTTCATTTATACAGATTTTCAGTTTTCATTTGAAAAAACAAAACATTTCTTTCGAATAACATGCCAGATGCTGCATGAAGCCGTGAATTTATTTGATTCAGACTAGAATTATGAACTCATGACATTACATTACCTTTTCAACACATTTAAATGTATTCAAGTGGTCATCTTTAAAAATTTCATGTTAATATTTAATTTGTTGTTCTTGGTTTTCATCGCCTTCTCTTGGAACATTTCAATGGTCATGGCCTAATGAATTTTGATAACTCTCATATCACTATAGAGACATTAGTACATTTTCCCATTATAATTTTAAACCACGAAGTATCAGTTTCAACAAAGCCGATGATGCTGCCTCATTTTTGTTTCGTCTGGATTATTAGGAATCACGTTTTTCAGGAAGTCAGTGAATTTATTCAAAACGTTTATGAAAATTTATCTTCCTGGTGCACTTATTTTATAAGGCAGTTTGGGTTAATTTTAATGAACAATTGTTTGTGAATTTTCCAACAGAGTCAACATGCTTGAAATGGAATAGAGGCTCGATTATCCGAACTTTTTAAAAATTAATGGCATGTTTGTACAGATGGTTCAGAAAAATCTGTGAAAAATTGCAAACTGAGGGGCTCTTTCATCCAGCAAAATTAACTTAAATCTCACTATTAAATCTGAATAATCGCGACTTGTAATTATTACTGATAATTTTCTGCTTTAAATGTTTCTAAAGGGTTCGCTACTTTGCTCGGGAGAAGTAAGACATACAAAAATAGAAAAAAAGGCAAAGATTAAAAATAAGACTGCGTTTGAAGAAATAGGCTATATGTACAGGATTATAATTAAAGTTCCACCTTTCAAAAGGCTGTAATAAAAGAATTACTGCACAGAATGACCTGAAATTTGACCTAATTATACATGAAGCAATGGAAATTTTTCTAATCAAATAAAATAAATACTTTAAAATTGTATCCATAGATAATACTGTACTTGTCATAATATGTCAACTAATCGACGGGGCATGAGCATCACATATTAGACTTGAAAATATCCAGAATATATACAGTCCCCTTTACTCTGTATCACTCAATCAGTGAAGGAAAGGGCTCTAAGCGTGAAGAAATTTTACAAAAACGGAGAACTGTGCTTCAACTGTGAAAGAATTCTGAATATTAAGATGCGCCCTGATAAAATGCCTTCAATGTTCTGCCAATTTTGAATGTGGACAGAACCTTTGAGATGGAAATGGGCTTCGTCTGTCCACAAAATTCTTCCGAACTAAGAAAGGTTGTGGATGACGCTTCTCTACCGCCAGGATTTGGCGATTGGGTCCCAAATCTCCCGTCGCCCTTTAAAATTGAGAGTATATAAGGTATTTCTCCCGCCTTCTTAGCATGACTTCGTGGTGTAGTGGTCAGCACGCTCAGCGCGTATTCGAGAGGTCCGTGGTTCTATTCCCGGCGAGGGCACTGCTCATTTTATACGTCTCCTAAAATAACCTAATGTCTCTACAAGAGGAACTCTTGAATATGCTTAAATTTGAATGGATAGTATTGCAGGATAATTGATAAAATTTTACGAATCGTAAAATTTTACGAATCTTTAGACGAATTGTGCATGTCTAAAGATCGAGCAATTCCCCTTTCGCATACATTCCTACACCGCTTCTAGTCTATTCTTGCAATTCTGTAGCCACATCTTCACTGACGTTGAAGTAATTGCTTTCCTTCGTCTGCCAGATGGCATATCAAATGAATCCATGTCTTCGAATTTACGAATTATCTTCGCCAACTCATGGCCGGACATCGGACGTCCCGAACTTCTGTAGAGCAACTGAAGTATAGTCACTGTGCTTACAATAAAGCTTCTTTAGCAGAGTCCGATCCTTCGTTGACAGAGTCATGACAAGATTCTCAGAGGCAGCATAAAGGGAATTGTCTATATTCATTGTTTATATTAAATCTGATATGTGATGCGCATCTTACGCTTTTCTTTAACATATTAAGATAAGTACAGCATCATCTATTAATAAAAGTTTGAACTATATTTTTTGTCAGACAAATTCACATTGCTGCATGTAATATTGAGGTCAAATTTCAGGTAATTTTGATCCGTAGTTCTTTTTATTGGAGCTATTTGAAAGTGGAACTTTAACTATAATCACCCTTTATACATATGAGCATGACAGTTATCACAAACTGAACAGAACATTTATGGAATTAGTTAAGAAAAATTCTAGGATTTCATCAGTGAATGAAAATAATTGGAAACCAAAAACTGTTGTGTTGATATTCATAGATTAAAAAGTTGATTCATGAAAAGTACACAAGTGCAATCGTGTGCATCCCAAGTTTGGCCGTCTCTACACTGGAAAAGAAGTGCAAGAAAATAATTTTTTGACTTTTCTTTTAAACCATCCATAAAAGGGGAAATAATTACAAATATTTCAAATTAAAGCATAAATGGAGTCAAGCAAGATGATCACAAAATAGATGGTATTGTGGCAAATGTGCAAAGCTTTGCAGCCATAGAGGTTTTTCATTCTGTTCAACGTATTACATAGAACGAAGAACAAGAAGAGAATAGAAGTATGCTTCTAATTAACTCAAACCATTTTAGAATATTGCAGTATTGCTGAGTATAAAATGACTAGTCGAATGAAACAAAGAAAGCACTGGCAGAGTATTTTCTTTAAAAGAATGTAAAATAATTGAATTTCTTTTAAACATAACATTTTATCGAAACAAAATCCTTGAAAATATAAGACAGTAAATGTCCACGTTCATCTATTTAATGAAACATGTGATATTCTTGAATACACTATTAACTCCTAATGCTCTTTAAACATTAAAATCAGCTATAGAGACAAATTAGTTTCTTTTTTAATCTTCTGTGACTCCGCTCTGTCGACGCTCAATTACTTAGAGTTATTCTGAGTCATAATCTCCTTTGAGTTACTCATGTTTATGTCCGAAGAAGAAACTAAGCTTAGAGACTAACTCAGTCGTGCATAAAACATTCAGCTATCGCAACTGAGGTATATCATGTTCCGAAGAGAAATGATATATGATTGCATAAACGCTTTCTTGAATTTTTAACTTGTATTTCCTTGTTTGATTTTTTAATTTGAATGAAACTTATGTAAAATATGCAGTTCCCATTAACTATTAATTTCTAAATTTCTTTGTGTAATGAGTATATGGATCCCTTTCCTTAGAACGCCGTCCACAAAAGCATCCTTACCGTTACACATTTAGCCTGTATATGATTTTTTATAATGAACTAAACAAGCACATTACTTCTAAATGAAAAGAAAACTCTCAATTTTGTGGCATTCCTGCAGGATTAAACATCATCCCATGTTGTTTTCTTTTTAATTTCAATTTTAGATATAATGGCATTATAAACGACCATTTTCAATAAAAGAATCTCACAGATCTCAAGACCTGAAATCTTGTGACTTTATATTATGGGAATATCTGAAATCAGGGAAATACAAAGATATCCGATGTCACTAGCAATGCTTAAGCTGTATCAATGTACTGTGGAATCTTAGGCATTGCCAGTGACATCGAGTGCCTAAGATGTACTGTGGAATATATCAATGATTCCTTCCCCAGAAATGCTGTTTCTGCTTTTCTGTTAGTTCACTTTCTATTAGCCCATATTCAGAGAACTCAGAATAAAGATGGCTGCCACAACCAGTGTATTGTTACGAATTTGGTATTTAAAAAGCTAATGTTAGTTCAATTATAAATTAAATGGTTTTATTTCTCGCGCAGTGCAGCGGGTGACGAATATTAAAAGAAAGCTAAGCCGGAAAATTGAAAATACAAGACGCGTGCATTAAATAAAATAAATACTCTTTTTTATTCGAGAAAGTACTGGAAAATTCTTAGCGCGTGATTTTAAAAATCTTATAAAAAGGAGGAAAACATCTCAGTTTGTGTAGTAGTTTGTTTGTGTTTAGAAAATGCTTCTTGTCGATTGTAGCGATTTCGCGGGATTAGTGTTCTTAGCTGTTTGAATTACGTTCTATTGGACATTTGAGTATTTAAAAGGTAACTACTGTGAGATATTGTGTAATACTGCATGATAATTTGAGAAAATTTAAGCATTTTGTGTGATAATAATAAATTTTGTTCATTTTCATACGGACATGTGCAATCATTTCATAACGAACCCAGTACGCACGCAACAAT